TGTATTCCTTCAGTGTTCTCAATGCAGCAACTATATTTTACAGGATTCCATGCATAGAGATGCCCTAAAGGGCGACTATCAATAAACAAATGGAATAGAACCACAGAGGAATTAGTTGCACCAGGCTTCATTATAGGGGTGGTTTTTAAGAGTTTAATGGCCTGTCTTACATAGATGAGATGTAAACCCCCAAACTGCAGTGAATTGGAAAAATATAGGCTCAAATAGCCAAATAATGACTGCTGCTGATTTGAACAATGTTTCCACCTATTTTAGTCGAAATGTTTGTTATGGAGATTGCAATTCACTACAACGGTGAATTTAGCAAATAAACTCCAGGGGAGTTATGCATAAACAGCTTAAAGGAACACTATAGTGTCAGGAATACAAACGTGTGTTCCTGACACTATAGTGCTGAAGTGGGTGTTTAGGCAACCAACCCCTCTCTGTGCAATTAAAAAGGTGATTTTAGTCCCACGTCTGTCTCTCCGTGGCTTTCCTCACTTCCATGCTGAGATAATCAATCTTGATGATCTCAGTCAACCCAATACTTTCCCATAGGAAAGCATTGGTAGGCTATTATGCATGCACGGCAGAATGTCACGGTGCGCCAATCAGCATCTCTATGGGGAACATTCAGTGAACATCATTGTGGCACACTGTGCAGCACTGACTCAGGAAGTAACTGTAGTGGTCATCTGAGTGACTGCCGCTGGAGGTGTCCCTAGGCTGTAATGTAAATACTGCTTTTTTACTGAATAGGCAGTGTTTACAGCAAAAAGACTGCAGGAACAGGCTGAGGGCATCAAAACAACTACATTAAGCTAGAGGTTTTCTGGTGACTATAGCGTTCCTTTAACAAATCTATTTGGTAAGATATTAAGAAGTTTAACAGCCGTAAGATGGGAGTAAAGTTATACTGTAGCAAGATACTCTCTGTTTGAGATAAAAGAAAATACATAAATATACAAAGCTTGAGATTCATACAGTGTGAATATTCTAAGCATGGCAAACATTTAGCCGTGATATCAGAGAGTATTTCTAACTCGTTGGGTCCCCATGCCATGGCGGTAATTTATCACCATTTACTGCTGGCACACCATATTATACTGTGCAATGGGTGGACTAACAGACATGTAATTGTAACCAGACAAATGGACGCAAAGGAACAGAGAGGTTGAGGGCCCTGCTCAATGAACCTACATGCTAGAAGGAGTGGGTTATAGTGATACAAAGGGTATAAGCAGGGGTAATGAAATAGGTTGCTAGAAAAGTATTCACTGAGAACTTTTGCAGGAGAGGAGTCATGGGGGATAGGGGAGGGGGGAATGCAAGCCCTCTAATAGTTTAAATGATATGCTTTCCTGAAGAAGTGTGTTTGCAAAGATGTTTTGAAGGAGTGGAGAATGGGTGAAAGTCTAACAGAGAAGGGAAGGGAGTTCCACAGAAAAGGTGCAGCCCTGGAGAAGTCTTGGAGGTGAGCTACAGATGTGGGAGAGAGGATAGACACATGCATCATGGCCCAGGTAGCCTGGCTTCTGTAACAGCACTACTATATGAAGAATCTGATGAAGATATTTGCAGAATTGGTAAACCTTATAATTAAATGAAGAGTCACTAAGCTAAAGCCACTGTACAAAAAAAGGAAAGAATCACTATAGTTGGAGGTGAATCACAACACAGATATATTAAGATAATCAGGTGGTAATACTTATTTTTCGTAGGTCAGTTATTGTAAAAAGTTTAGATCTTTAAAGTACAGACTAATTATTGTGTGAACATACTTTACTATAATTTGTGATAAATGCAATAAAGAAGCACACTGCCATCTAGTGTCTAAATATGAGATGGCTAGAAATACTTTATAGCATGGTTATTCACAGAAGTGTGGATTGTCATGAACTCAGTGTACACATAAGATTGCTACACTGCCAAGTTTTAGAATTTTACAATCCCTGCATTCTGTGCAATGCTAGAAGGTATTAAGTGGCAGTAGTCCAGATGTGAAATCAATAAAGTAATCAGTCATAATGAATTGCTTTAACATCATTCTACATACCAATTATATAAAATGTTATAAATATATTATATTTATTCAAGAAGCAAAAACAATATTTGTGTATGCGCTTCAGGGATAAGGGTAATAGCAGAGAATGGGTGTAAGGAAGGTGTACTCCCTTATCACCGTCAAATAAAGATAAAGACAAAAATAGAAAAATATACACCCAAAGTAAATAAAGATAATAAAAACATAGTGCTTTCTGTATACAGCCAGATATACAGCCACAATTATCTAACTCGTGGTCCATCATTTTGAGTGTGGGAGCTCATCAAAACCATCTCCAATGACTCATAGACCTTGGTCACTTGGACCAAAAAAAATCCCTTGGGACTGCTGCCATATTTAAAGGATACTAAATTAGGGAGCTATTTACTAAGTGGTAGAAAGAGTAAAATCAAGAAAAGTCCTATTTTATTTTTTATTTTGGTTGTGCAATGGCAAGATAACAAACAGTTTTAGACATGCAACCATGAGATATAAAGTTGGTATCAATAATAATGTTGAAATATCTGCACAATTTTAAATGATATAGCAGTCAGCAGTAAATGTGTAGTCTGCTTAATAAGCATTAGGCAACGCTATACATGTTATATGCTGGAAACTGCATTACTTTGACATAACGGTTACAACCATACTAAGTAGTTTAGTTGATTATCCTACTTGATAAGCCATAAACAAAACTAAAACATATTAAATGCTGATTGTTAGGTTACTCTGACATAAGAAAAAAATTGAGATTGAATACTTTATTTTAAATATGAAATAAACAAACACTATGATAGTAGACAGTGCCCATAGGTTACAAGATACTTAACCCCTTAAGGACACATGACGTGTGACATGTCATGATTCCCTTTTATTCCAGAAGTTTGGTCCTTAAGGGATACTATAGGCACTAAAACAACTTTAGCTTAATAAAGCAGTTTTGGTGTAAAGATCATACCCCTACAGTCTCACTGCTAAATTCTCTGCCATTTATGAGTGAAATCACTGTTTATACAGACCTAGTCACACCACCCTGCATGTGAGTTGCACAGCTTTCCTGTAAAGAGACATCTAATGTTTAAGCTTCCTTTACTGCACACGGTTTCATTTTAAATTTCTTATCTCCTGCTCTGTTAATAGCAGCCTAGAACGTGCAAGAGTCTCCTATGTGTGATTAAAGTGAAATTTACAGAGCAGGAAATACAAAACTTCTAAAGCAAGTTAAGATCTGATTGAAAACAGTTTTTTCATGCAGACTGTGTCAGTCACAGCCACGGGAGGTGTGACTAGGGCTTATCACACATTTTAATAAGAACTTGACAAGGTTAGTATTATATTGTCTGCAAATACTTATATCGTTAGATGAGATGTTAATTTAAGGCCATTTATTCCTTTCTGCATCCTAATGCTTTGAGCCAAAGGACATGGCATACAGTATTTGATCCCCTGCTGATTTTGAACGTTAGTCCACTGACAAAAAAAAAATAATTTTAATGGTAGGTGTATTTTAACAGTGAGACAGAAAAAAAAAAATAAAAAAAAATAATCAGAAACGCTTATCAAAAAAGTTAGAAATTGATTTGCATTTTAGTGAGTGAAATAAGTATTTGATCCCCTATCAAGATTTCTGGCTCACATGTGTCTTTTATACAGGTAACGAGCTGAAATTGGAGGCAGTCTCTTAAAGTTTCCACGCTACAGGGGAGGGGAGATTTTTTTAGATGCAAGGATTTTGCAGCACGGCTTCATAAGGCAACCACACTGTAATAGCAGGGACTGCCTACACTACTCCATGTAGGTGTGTCACATGACAACCCAGTGCTTATTCTGACAGCACACTGGACTTCAAGAAGCCCCCCATGCTTAGAGCAGGGTGGAGGTACCAACCTGTAGGATTAAAGAGTTGGCAATAGCTTCACCTAGGGCACAGCTGTCTGCTGCTTGTGAAGCAAAAAGATGGGAGGGGGGGAGGAGAGGAGGAGAAGGATGAGACAGGGAAATATGTCTGGGAGTGGTGAGGGAGACTAGACATGGATGGAAAGGGGGGGGAAGGGAGGGAGGGAGGAAGGGGGAAGGAGAAGAGAAAGCAGCAGAAAGTGCAGCCATATCTTACCCTGCAGTTTTGCAGAGGGAGAAAGCAGACAGTGGTGGCATTACTGAGACTGTAAGTAACTCCCCTACAGTCTCAGCCCCTCCAATTGCAGCAAATATTTCCTACACTACAGCCCCAATCCACCTACTAACGCTCCTAATACAGCCCTCCCATTTATAACCCCACACTACAGCCCCCGTCCCTCCATTAGAAGCCCTAACTTATAGCCTCTATCACCCCACCTGCTATTAGGCTCTGGATTCATCCCTGCCACTCAAGGTAGACGTTGGAGAAATAGTGACAAAGAATGACATCCTGGTATTTCCAAGAGAGACCAATTAGGATGCACGCTGTGTTGCTCTCACCAAGTCTATAAAATCTGCCTACCGAGTAGCTTGTAAAGCTGCCTCCCTAAAATTAGGTGACCGCCTCCCTGAAATTAGTTTTGGCATGTCTGCTATAGGAGCACTGCCACACCAGTTTTTAATGTGTTCCATAACTAGTTGCAGCAGTTTAGAAGCACTAGATTTGGAGAATTGAGGCTATTGGAAATAAAAACCAAAGACACAAATCAACGTAATGCAAAGATATTTTATTTTCTTCCTTCATTTATTAATAATCTGGAGGATGCAGTTTCCATATTACAGAGAACATTAGCATCTCAATCAGCCTAGACAGGTTTTTCACCCCAACCAGCTGTGACAAAACCCAACATATTCTAATCTCACAAGCTACACCATGCTACAAATGGGGTTATGCACACATTTTGGTGTTACAAGACGAGTTGCCAGTAACTAGTAACAGTCTGTAGGTCAGTTCTGGCCCTGAAAGCCAAAACATTGAAACTGCATGCCTTGTGAACTAGTTAGCTGGTGGTAGAGGGTTCTCAGTTGGGGGTTTTGGATCATCGTCAAACTTCATATCTCTGCAGAAGAGCACAGCTTCTTTACCCAGACCCAGTTTGTACTGCCAGACATAGATCTTCTCATTGGGCTTCACGGTCAGGCTGATTGTTTCCTCAGTTTCAGTTACCTCATTCCAGTTCTCTCTGTCCGTGTTGACACTCTTCCCCCCATATGAAGTAGTGAGAGAGAACTGGCTCTTTACAATAAGGGCACTCAGACCTCCTGTCTCTGCAGACACTGTGGCTGACACATTCCAGGTATGTTCTATGGAGGACATCTTCTCCTTTGTATAGCCAACCTTCTTGTTGATCTTGTTTGTCCAGGTGATCGGAGTCTGCGAGTCATTGGTGATGGTTTTGATGCACTCCCAGACACCAAATGAAGGACCCTGAATGAGTGCCAAGCCCCCAGGGGTGAAGTTGGTGACAGTGGGATGTATGGAAAAGGACTCCCCATTCTCATTCTTGTTGAAGTTTGTGCATCTGTAATACTGAACCCCCCATTCATCATGAGGCTTCAGAAAGTAGTAGTAGTTTTTGATACCAAAGTAGTAGAGCCCGTTCCTGCAGTTGGGATGGAGTGTGTACTCCACCCCATCCTCGTACGTGTTCATATTTTTAGTTTTACGATAAACCCCTCGACTCTGGTCGATGATTTAGAAGTGACCGAAGGCAGAGAGATAGTGATCACCGCCCCGGCAGCTGGGATGTAGAGAGTAGACTACAGCACCTTCATCTGTGTTCATGTTGGTCACACGACGATAATTCGTGCCCTTAATGATATAGAATAGGTCATCTTCATATGCAAGGTAATGGTCTCCATTTCTACAAGAGGGATGCAGACTGTAGACCACTAAACCTTCACCCTTGTTGAAGTTTGAAGCCCGCATGTAGCAACCAAGGTCAGATCGGACAATGTAGTAATATTGGTCAACACCACAAAAATCCACTCCTGGGGCATGCTTCTTGGGAACGATCCCAACCATGGTCAGACACTGAAAGAATAAAAATACAAATTAAGGTGGTAGGTTACAAAATGGATTTTGTTAATTCAACAATTTTGTATTCAGTGTCCTAAAAAGCTTTGGCTTCACTTATGTTAGAATAAGAAAGATTGGAGAGGATAGAGGCCAAGAGTGGTAGACCAGACAAATCAGTTTTCTAGAAGTTCATAGATGGGAGAAAGTATAATTGACATTGTAGTGGCAGATATGTGTTCAATAGACAGATGGGAAATATTTGGGAGCCATTTTGTCAGCATTTGAAGGTCACCAAGACCTCAGTAGTTTGTGCTTCACTACAAAATGCCAGTTTTCACATTTCAATTCAACAATATCAACACTGAAGGATTAACACTATAGGAAATTATAAGATTTTCTAAAAATGCACTCTTACAGTAGATAGTTGTATAGTTACAATTTTGTGCCATTTTAAAGGCTGTCAGTATGAGAAGCCACAGGTAGACTTAATCCTTGCAGACCACTACACCAAAACCTTCCTCCTTAGACACACCCCCTCCCTCCACAAATATACTTCCTTATCAAGTGTATGTACACAGCCCAGCCACCAATATGGAGTGATCTGAACTATAAAGCAACCTGCATTTTATGGAGAGAACACATAGCAAGGATATCACTACGTGTTTGTAGGGTCTCTAGTTGTGAATTAAATGCTGTTCACTGTGCTGAGCATATACATCTGATAAGGAAGGTTTTCCTGGCATGAGGGGAAGTGGTTAGAGAGGCAGCATTCTGCAGGACATTTAAACCATTCATTTGTATTTGCCAAAATGCTGAGCCACATGCATAGTGCAGCATCCCTCCCAGTGTATTCAGTCACAGCCATATACAATACAGTATCTTTATATAATCTACATTCAGGCTTTGGAGACAGACCAGCTGCAACAGATTCTAGATAAACCATTCCAAGTTGAGGAGTTTGGGAAGGAAATTGGGAGTTTAGTAAATAAACCCATTTCCTCTAGTGATTGAAATAAGGGCTATAGAAATATATAGACACCTGGTGTTTAATTAGGTTAAATCAATGCTCAGACTGGGAGTAAATCCTTCAATCCAATCTCAGGGTCTATTCACTAAATTGGGAATTGTTAGGAATGCAGGTTAAGGGGATTTTCAGGTTCCAGAAGGGTTTATAGCCCACTGATCCACAGAATATCTGTACAAATATAGTGAGGGTTGCCACATGAAGAGCGCTGCCCTGCAGTATGTACAGAATAAACCTCACTTGCTTAAAGGGCCACCGAGATGCTGTGATCTGGGTTACAGTAGTCTCCCTATAATGTTTAAAATACATTCAGGTATTTATTCCTGGGACATCAAGTTAAATCCAAATGGTGACATTTTATTGTCAAGCTGTTACCATGGCTCAGTTAGCAGTTTAATAAATTAGTGAACACTTTAAGGAAATCCTCAACTTGGAAATAACCACACTGTGTATAAATCACATTATTAACAAATAAACATAGAATAACTCACATAGTAAGGCACCTTCTCAGAAACTGTGATACCAGCCAACCCTCTTCTAATATCACCCCTCCCAGAATGATCCTTTTATAGCTGGAGGTGAGGGGTTTGGACACCTTGTTAATCAATCCCTAATCCTTTACTAATTGACCCCCCTCTGCCTCCCCAGGTGAGGTTTGGGGGAGATAATGATTGGGAGAAGAGACACAGGTGGGAAGACAACGAATGGTATTGTGATGGTCAATACATGAAAAGTGCTGATATATTTATATATGTACTCACTATAATTCCCCATTGATTAGTGACTTGATTTACTACCTGCAGTCATTACAGGGGCATTGCTGAAAAATAGTGCATTGACTAATACAAAAAATGCTAAACAATAAAAATAACAACTACTTACTCTAATCATAAAAAAATGCTTTTTTAGTTTAATTTATAAATATATATATTAAGTACATAAAGGACACTCCATAGACCTGTAGAACTTTATCTTGCTGAAAAGCTTTATGTGTGAAGAGTGTGTCCTATTTTTTTCACTTTACAACAACTGCAGAATTAAAGAAATTGGCACTTTTTAAAATGACCTTGTAACACCCCACTGGCTGTCAATCAGACAATGACACTGTTACTTCCTGGTTTGTTTTGCTCAGTGGAACTAAACTGAAGAGATGGCAATTGCCCAGAGCATCTGCTTTGCAGATGTCTCATTGATCTGCATTGGGAGTCCGTGACTGGACAGCCACATAAAGTTTGGGCGAGATATGAAAGGGAGGGCTTCAGCCAAGAGACCCGCAGCTTTTACAAGCTGTATTTAGATATATACCCAATTAAAAAATGCATAATTAAATGCATACACTGGGGGTATATCTACATGCATGTTCTGGGGTATATCTACTAAACAGTGATTTTTATTTCTGTAATTTAGGCAATGGAGTGTCACTTTAAGGGAAACAAAAACAAATGAAAAATGTTCTTCAATGGCTTGTTTTTATTGTGTTTCATGATCCTTTTATATGAGTCAACAAAACAAAAATGTGTACTTGAGAAAGATAGGGGTGAGAGGCTTTCAACCTAATTCAGTAAAATGTGAGTGACATGACCATCTGTGGCATCACTTCACAGGTATGACATCACAATAGAATAGTTATCTCCAGTGTTATCTTTGACTCTTCATCCAGTGCTGGAGATTCACCAGTCAGCTTGGTTTATATTCAGTCTTCATCTCTGAGTAAACCATGGACAATTAGTGCATCCAACAAGTTTCTAGAGAGGTAACACTGCAGCTCTGCTAATGTGAGATGTAAATAATACAAATGTCCATCTACTGATCTAAGAGATCCATTTAGAGGTAAGAAATAAAGAAAAGGACAAGACATGAAGATTATTAAGAATATTTGTGTAATTTATATTTCATAATACAGTGTAAGCTCTGTTAGCAGGGATATCCTTTCTCTGTATTGTCACTTTCATATTAGAGTGTAAGCTCTGTGAGCAAGAACCTCATTCTTCCATTTACTTCCATTCTTCAACATGCTTCCAGCTTCTCATTCCAGTTTTTCTCAGTAACAATGTAACACAAACATGTGCATCTCGGTGCCTCTGGGTTCTAGATTCATCAACAACAGACCTAAATTACCATTAAAATTGTTCAAAACGTAAGGTCGAGTTGGAGAAGACTGCAAATTTAGCCTTGCAAGCTGATTAGTGAACATATCTCCTGCTGTATGAGGAACATTGTCACCACGCCTGATTAACCATAGCGATGATTTATATTTTCATTTTACATCCTTTACTGCGGCTTATTGGTAATGGATTAAAAAGGTGATTGAATCCTTGATGGTTTGGAGATAAAGTTACATGCAGTGAAGATACTAGAGTTTTTTTTCCCCTTTACTTTCTCGTCTGACGAACCCTCTTAGTTTGGAATTGAAGGCTGAAATATAGCTTTTTATTTACGTCAAACATCTTCTGTTTAAGTGCAGTAAGCTATGCATTTTCCTGAAATTCCTGAGCCTCTACATATCTCTATCTTTTTCGAAGTCTTGACTGAACTTCTGGTGAATTTAATGCACTTTTCTAATATTACTGAAATCAATCTTTATTCATTAAAGGCAAATATGTCTCAATGTCTTGTATTCCTTCAGTGTTCTCAATGCAGCAACTATATTTTACAGGATTCCATGCATAGAGATGCCCTAAAGGGCGACTATCAATAAACAAATGGAATAGAACCACAGAGGAATTAGTTGCACCAGGCTTCATTATAGGGGTGGTTTTTAAGAGTTTAATGGCCTGTCTTACATAGATGAGATGTAAACCCCCAAACTGCAGTGAATTGGAAAAATATAGGCTCAAATAGCCAAATAATGACTGCTGCTGATTTGAACAATGTTTCCACCTATTTTAGTCGAAATGTTTGTTATGGAGATTGCAATTCACTACAACGGTGAATTTAGCAAATAAACTCCAGGGGAGTTATGCATAAACAGCTTAAAGGAACACTATAGTGTCAGGAATACAAACGTGTGTTCCTGACACTATAGTGCTGAAGTGGGTGTTTAGGCAACCAACCCCTCTCTGTGCAATTAAAAAGGTGATTTTAGTCCCACGTCTGTCTCTCCGTGGCTTTCCTCACTTCCATGCTGAGATAATCAATCTTGATGATCTCAGTCAACCCAATACTTTCCCATAGGAAAGCATTGGTAGGCTATTATGCATGCACGGCAGAATGTCACGGTGCGCCAATCAGCATCTCTATGGGGAACATTCAGTGAACATCATTGTGGCACACTGTGCAGCACTGACTCAGGAAGTAACTGTAGTGGTCATCTGAGTGACTGCCGCTGGAGGTGTCCCTAGGCTGTAATGTAAATACTGCTTTTTTACTGAATAGGCAGTGTTTACAGCAAAAAGACTGCAGGAACAGGCTGAGGGCATCAAAACAACTACATTAAGCTAGAGGTTTTCTGGTGACTATAGCGTTCCTTTAACAAATCTATTTGGTAAGATATTAAGAAGTTTAACAGCCGTAAGATGGGAGTAAAGTTATACTGTAGCAAGATACTCTCTGTTTGAGATAAAAGAAAATACATAAATATACAAAGCTTGAGATTCATACAGTGTGAATA